GGCGAGCGTTTCAGCTCTCAAAAATTAGGGTTTACGGTTTAGGGTTTAGGGTTTAGGGTTTAGGGTTTAGGGTGTGTGCATCGCTGCCGTAGAGGGGCCCCGAACAACACCCCGGGCTTCGAGTTTAGGGTTTAGGGTTTAGGGTTTAGGGTTTAGGGTTTAGGGTTTGGTGTTATATTCTTTTACGTTTTCTATTACATAAAGAAGAAAAAAATGTATTATAATTTACGGATAATAAATTAGGGTTTAGGGTTTAGCGCCTAGGGTTTAGGGTCTAGGGTTTAGGGTTTAGGGTTTAGGGTTTAGGGTTTAGGGGTGGGCCCTGTGGGGCTGAGTGCTTGGGGCCCCGGGGATCCTTCGCCGCTACAATTCAAGGGTTTAGGGTTTAGGGTTTAGGGTTTATAAAATAATTTTGTGATTATATGATAAGCAAGCAGAGCTCGTCGCTTCTCCTCCACGTTCATTGCCTACCGGGACCTCCTAGGGTTTAGGGTTTAGGGTTTAGGGTTTAGGGTTTGTTATAGAAGATGTATCTGCGTTTCTACTTGAACGAGAAGGGCCAGCGTGTTTACACCTTGGCGGTGAGTATAAACCATAGAAGTATTTAGGGTTTAGTGTTTAGGGTTTAGGGTTTAGGGTTTAGGGTTTAGGGTTTATGGGGTGTACGCGCAGACCCACTCCCCCACCGGCCAGCCAACCCTCTCCGCCCACCCCCCTCGTTTCTCCCCCGACGATAAATTCTCTCACCACCGCGTAGCCCTCAAAAAACGCTTCGGCCTGCTACCCACACAGAGGCCCCCACTACAGTACTAGGGGGCCCCCTGCACTACTAGGGGGGCCCCCTTCGGTACTAGGGGGCCCCCCTTCGGTACTAGGGGGCCCTCGTGCAGTACTAGGGGGCCCCCTTCAGTACTAGGGGGCCCCCTTCGGTACTAGGGGGCCCCCCGTCCAGTACTAGGGGGCCCTCGTGCAGTACTAGGGGGCCCCCTTCAGTACTAGGGGGCCCCCCTGCAGTACTAGGAGAGCGGGGGGGCCCACAGTACTAGGGGGCTCTCTGGGGGTTCCTTAGAGTATTGCAGGGGCCCCCAAGCGTGTGCGGGCCCCTGCATTTCAGTTGGACCCTAGTGGGCCCCAGGGGGCCCCCATGGGGGGCCCCCATGGGGGGCCCCCGTGGGGGGCTGTGGGGGTATTTATAAATCATGTAGGGGACCGGTGGGGGCCCCCGTAGCCCGGGGGGCCCCCAGCAGTGTTTATAGGGGCCCCTGAGGGTTCAGTTTTGGCGGAGAGGGGCCCCCTCGGGCCGGTGAGAGATAGAGGGACTTTGGGGGCCCCTGGGGCCCCCACGTTTCTTTACTAAAAAGCTTGATGGTGCCGAGGATATCTTTTACGCTAGGGTTTAGGGTTTAGGGTTTTGGGTAGCCTATATATATATATATATA